AGAAAATGAGGACAGGAAGAGAATCTAGAAAGACCCGGTATGGAGGAGGGATAATTAAAAAAGATATAAACAAATAGACAAAGAAGAGTGATAAACAAATGAACCCCGCCCTTCCCCCCCCAGCGACCGCCGGTGGGGCCCGAGGCAGCGCACGGCAGCAGCAAGCCGCAGCCCCGCAGAGGCAGGAGAGGGGGGGCGGAGGGGAGAGGGACGGGGTGGGAGGAGGAGCGCTCGGGGAGGGGGGAGGGGCCGCCCGCCCGCCCGCCCGCCTCTACTCTGCGCTTCGGCTGCCTCCCTCCCCCTCCTTGCCCTTGTACTTTGCCTTTCCAAACGAGAAGGGCACGTACCTGCGCAGCGTCGCTCGTCGTGAGGAGCGAGCGGCGAGAGCCCGAGCGCGGAGCGCGGGAGCGCGGGGCGAGGGGACGGGGGGCGGCGGGGCGGGGGGCGGGGGAGGAGGGGAGGCTCGCACTTGTATTTGATCATGTGCTTGATCTGCCGCTTCATCGTCAAGAAGAAGAGCGCGAAAAAGTACCTGCCCGAGGCAAGCGAGCGGCGCGCGTCGGCGGGGCGGGGGCCGGCTCGGCGAAGCGGGGCGACGCAGCCAAGCCGGACTGTCGCTCTGGTGGCGGAGGACTGCGTCTGCGTCGGACCGCCGCTGCTTCGGACCCCCGGGCAGGGGAGGGCGCACATGAGGAGGATGGGCCAAAACACGGGGATGTTGAAGAGGCTGAAGAAGGTCATGCAGAAGGCCACGCAGAAGGCTTTCGTCAGCCCGTACCTACCGGTCCACCGCGCACCCTCAGACACCAGCCGCCGCGCCGCCAGAGCCGCGGCGAGACCGCGCCAGAACTTGAACTCTGGTAGCCTGCGCACAAAGGGCCGGAACTCGTCGTCCTTGGACGTCGGCAGCGTGGGTCCCTCCGTCTCCGGGTCCGTCGCCGGCGAGAGGAAGCCAATCAGCAGGTTCAGCGCATAGATCCCCAGCCCATAGGTGATGATATACCACCCTGCGGGCGTAGCGCGGCGCAGCGGCCGGTGAGAGCACTCTGCGCAACCTCCCGCCCGCGGCCGGTGCGCAGGCGGCAGAGGCACTGCGTCCGCGGGTAGACGTCCGCGCTGGGGCGTCACAGCGCGGCTGGCGCGTGCGCGCGCAGCCAGCCACGCAGCGCACGCAGCGCACGCAGCGCACGCAGCGCACGCAGCGCACGCAGCGCACGCAGCGCACGCAGCGCCGCACGCGAGCGCAGAGAGTGGCGGGTGGCGACACGCCGCCAGCAGCGACCAGCGGTGGTCCGGGAAGAGAGAGAAGGGAGTGCGGAGGCGCAGACGCACCGTTGATCAGGTACACGCGGAGGCAGTAGGCAAGCATGATGAACACCGTCGCGGCCCACCTCGGAGCGGTGTGCGGCGCAGCCTTGTCCATCCAGATCTGCCAAGTGCGGCTGAAGCCGGCCTGCATTTTCCCGACGCCGCCCTCATCCAGCTCAACCTCGTCGTACATGGCGGCGGGCAGGGAGCCAGCGCAGGCGACTGAGAGCAGGGCAGACAGAGGGCGTCAGCGTTTTGGCGCCAAGTGCGGCTCTGCGCAGGCGTCTGTGCGCGAGAGCGGGCCGGCGCGCGGCGGCAGAGGAGGCGCGGGAGATGAGACATGAGAGACCGGCCCTTAGGAGAATCGAGAGGCCGCGAGAGGGAGGGACAGGGATATGAGCGTCTAGCCTCGAGCGGGCGGCGCCAGCGTGCGGTGTTTGCGCAGAAGAAAGTGGTCAATCTCCGCCAACCAACCTGGGCTCTCGCGCGGTCAGCCGACACACCACTCGAGACGCGGCCTCTAGACTCTGCACAGGGACGGGCCGCGGCACCCCCGACTACCTTCCCACGCCTGCGCAAGCGCGGTCCGCGTCGCCGCCCACTCCTCCTCCCGCCACCGCTCCCGCCGGAGCACGCGCACGACGGTGCGGCCTCGGACGGACGGCGCGCTCCCGTCTGCAAGCGGGCCAGCCGCCGTCCCGCCGCGGTACCTCGACTCCACGGCGAGCCACCGCCAGCCGGCCCTTGCCCACCCCTCCGCCTCCGTCGCACGCTCCTCCGCCGTATCCGCCTTGAGGTACGACCGCTCCGGGTGCACCATCACGACAGTCACGCTGGCGCAGCGTCGTCTCTGCGCGTGGCATGCGCCAGCCGAGCCGTCGGCGTGCGCCTCCTGCCAGCCGCCGTCGCCGCCATCACCATCACCACCGCCGCCGTCACCGCCGCCGCCGACGCCGCCGCTGTCGCCCGCCTCGCACAATTCCGTCGCCCCGCACCAAACGAGGTCCTCCAGCAAACGGGCGGCATGCCCCATGCACCCCTGCGGACGCGCCGGCGAGTGGGCGTCTTGGCCGG